CCCACAAAACCCAAATTCCCTCGAAAAAGAAAAAACTAACCTTGAAAAAGTTGTAGGTAACACACTGCTGCACTGGTAATTGTGCATATTCCATGCAGATATTACAAAGTAAAGTACTAGGATTGAAACTTAAACCAATTTGTTTGATCTTTTTCTTTTTCTACTATTTAATTAAAAAAAATAGTGATATCTTATTATATTTGAAAATAATTTAATTTTAAATTTTCATTTTACACTAAATGACATGACTATTTAAAATATTTCAAAAGATTTGAAAAGAAATAGTGCAAAATCAAAGTACGTTACATAAATTAAAACTAATAAGAGAGTAGAAGGGAGCTTGATAAAATTTTAAAAAATAAATAAAAAACAAGGGAGTAGTACCATATATTACTGCATTATATTACAACTAAGATATTTCTAGTAAAATTTGTCCACTTAGAGTCTAGTACACAAAAATGTAAAACAAAAAGGAGGGGTGTCAAAAAAAAATTCCTCATTTTGCATTAAACTCACCTTTGCAAGACTACCAACAAACTGTATTAGGTGTTTATACTAAATTATACTCCATAATTATGAAACATGGTTATTACTAAACCATATACTAATTCTCTATCAAATTAATCATGAAGTGACCTGCAATCAGATAAAATATGTGAATAGTTTTCATTATTTCCTCCAAACATACTTATAACTTCTTATGATGAGTCGGTGTTAATTTCAAGTGATAATAATTGTATTTTTGTATCATTTATACAGAAGTACAGACTTCACACGAGAAGGCCAAGTCCAAGCCCACAAGTAGCAACATCAGCACCTCACCTGGTGGTGTTAGGTGGCATATGGGTCCCACCAGAGTACGCAGCCGCCGCTGCACACGGCGGTGCACCACCTGCAGCCACCCTATATGGAGCACATCCAACTAGCCATGCACCTTCACCACACTACATTGCAGCCCCGCATGGAACAATGGCTCAAGAATTTTACACTACTACTGCACCACAACCTTTACAATCGCTCCACCACCTCCAGCACCACCACCAGCATCAGCAGTTGTACCATCACGGCGGCCAAATGTACAAGCCACCCTCAAACTCACATACTCAAAGCTCGCCAGAACCCGAATCCCGAGGAACCGGTCACGGTGGTGACAGGTCGGAGAGTATTGAAGATGGAAAGTCAGAGAGCAGTAGCTAAGAAGAATTTCTACGTAACAATTTTCTGTGATTAAATTTAGTTTAGTGTTAACTAATTAAGAGTTAGCTTAGATTAATTATTAGAAGGTTCTTGTTGTTGAAAGAACTGGGAAAAATAAGGTGCATCTTCCTGTTTTATGTTACACGAACGCAAGGGTAAAAAGGGCATAATGAAAAAAGGTAGTGTTTGTTTTTCTTTGAGATTCCATTGTATGCTTTTGATAATATCCTAATTGGATAAAGTTTGAAAATCAGATTTATTTGGTTTCTTGGCGTTTTGAGGGTCTTTCTTGCTAATTTTGGCTTTTGCTCAGTTGACGGATTTGACCTTACTTATTGATAAAAAGCATAAATTCTTCTTCGGGGCTTTACACAAATAACTGGTAAAAATAGCACGGACTAGTCAGTTTTCGGACTGGTCATTCAAAAATAGCCAGCATTTGCAAAGTTATTGAAAAATAGCCATAATTTTGCTGCAACACGGAAAGTTCCAGCATAATATACTGGTGATCGGTGCACCTGTGTATGAGCTTCCAGCATATTATGCTGGAACTCTAACACGCGAAAAGTTCCAACATAATATACTGGAGATTGAAGCACCTGTGTATGAATTTCCAGCATATCATGCTGGACCGATATATTATACTGGAACTTCAGTATACTATGCTGGAAGTCCAGTATACTTATGCTGGAACTCCAGTATAATATACTAGAATTATACTGGAATTCAGTATATTATACTGGAGTATTTTCCGGATTTTGAATAGTGTTTTCGTTCAGATTATCTTTACATGAAAAGTGGCTAAATTTCAATTACTTTTGAACTGTGGCTATTTTTTGATGACTACTTATAAATCTGGCTATTTTTGAATTTCTTCCCAATAACTGGTCCGATTTAGTGTTTATACATATATATTTTTTTGGTAATTATAAAAATTTTATAACCAAGGGAAAAGTATTTACAAACAAGACTGCAAAAACCTCTAAAACTGGACAAAAGGCCCCAGCTTTAGTATCAGTGCACTACACTAACCAGACTCCTATTTCACCTTCATCTATCCGCTAGAAACTAAGGCTAATAGTTCACTTTCTCCAACTACTTAGCAATTCTTGGCCATCTACTTCCTCTAGAATATCTTGCACAATTTGCTTGATGAGATTATCAGCACTCCTCGCCTTCTTTTGAAAAACTCTAAGATTTCTCTCTTGCCAAATGTCGATGTGGGAGGCCCAAGGTCCAATTAACATGGTATCTGTGACGACCCAAAGGGTCATCACCTGTATTCCTACTCCCTCTGTACTTCTCAGGCCGTTTGAGAAAAATTGTTAAATCTTGGTATTTAATTGATTAAGTTTGACTTCAGTCAACGTTTTGGGCAAACGGACCCGGACCCGTGATTTGACGGTCCCGGAGGGTCCGTAGGAAAATGTAGGACTTGGGCATATGCCCGGAATCAAATTCCGAGGTCCCAAGCCCGAGAAATAAATTTTTGTGTGAAATTGTTTTCTGAAAATAATTAAGGAAATTGGAAATGAAATTTGATTAAAAGACTGTGGTATCGGGCTCGTATTTTGGTTCCGACGCCCGGTACAAGTCTTATATACAGCTTAAGTACTTTCTGTAAAGTTTGGTTGAATTTGGACGTCGTTTGACATGTTTTGGACTAAAAACTCTAAACTTGATGTTTTATGAAAATTGGAAGGAAATCCTAGGTCTTGAGGCCTAATTTGATGATTATGATGTTGTTTGGGCGATTTGATCACACGGATGAGTCCATAGGATGTTTTTGAGTTTATATGTATGTTCGGTTTGGAGCCCCGAGGGCTCGGGTGAGTTTTGAGTAGGTCCCGGGAGATCTTAGGCTAGAAATATCAGATGGTTGCAGGTTCAGGTGTTGCAGGCCCTCAGCGCGGCCGCGGTCATTTTTGCGCGGTCCGCGTGGCTAGGTTCAGAGGGCCAGTGAGTTCTAGGCCAACCAGCGCGGCCGTGCACCAAATCAGTGTGGTCCGCGCTGGGTAGGTGTAGAGAGTCATTTTTCTTCCCTTCCTCGGCGCGGCCGCGGTGCATTTTTGTGCGGTCCGCGCCAGTCTTCAGCACAGTATATAAAGTCGGGATTTTCAGTCATTTTTCACTTTTTCAAAATCCAAAACATAAGAGGCGATTTTCCAAACGATTCCACTTCTTCAAAACGATTGGTAAGTGTTTTCTAACTGATTTTCTTTACTCCTTAACATCCTTAAACATAATTTCAACTTCAAAACAAAGATTTTAAAGGGGAACTTGGAAATTTTGGATAGAACCTATGTTTTCTAAAATTGAGGGTTTTGGACCTCAATTCGGGGTCCGATTCCAAAATAACTTACATATTTGAGTTCATGGAGGAATGGGTAAACGGGTTTTGGTTCGAACCTCGGGTTTTGACCATGTGGGCCCGGGGGCATTTTTGGCCTTTTGGGGTAAATTGATGAAAAAGCTATAATTAGTCATTGGGTTTGATTTGTTTAGCTCACATTGATATCATGAAGTCCTTATTGCATAGATTTGGTCGAGTTGGAGCCGAATTCGAGAGGGAAAGCGGTCGTTGAGGATTGTATTGGCCGTGGAAGTTGAGGTAAGTGTTTGGTTTAACCCTAGCTTGAGGGAATATGAGTCGAGTCTTGTTTGCTAATTGCTAAATGATCGAGTACGATGTATAGGCATGGTGACGAGTTCCTATACATTGGGGTCTAGCATGACCGTGAGTCCTTATATGTGAGTTGTTTGGATATTGTTATGCCTTCCATGTTATTAATGGCTTCTATACGTGGTAAACACCTTGTGAAAGATATTGTGATTGTAGAACTTCGTGGAGCATTGGCTCGGTCTGAAATACAAATGGTGAGGGTATGTGAAATGAGAAATGCCTTAGAGCTTGACATGAGTGCTAATGAGAGTTAGGATATGGAAATGAAAGAAAAAGAGAAATAACGATTTACTCTTGCATGGTTGTTATTGGTTGTTTGTGTACCCTTGTTGGGATTTCTTTCCAAATACTTGTTTACTCCCTTGCCCTTTATTTGTGACTGTTGCTTGGGCAAGGTTGAGAGGTATACATTACGGATCGGGTTGCGCGCCGCAACAATGTTATATGTGGATCGGGTTGCACGCCGCAACAGTGATAATCGTGGATCGGGTTGCACGCCGCAATAATGTTATATGTGGATCGGGTTGCACGCCGCAACAGTGATAATTGTGGATCGGGTTGCACGCTGCAACACTGATAATTGTGGATCGGGTTGCACGCCGCAACAGTGTTGAAATGTATTAGGGTCGGGTTGCGCGCCGCAACAGTTATTGGTGCAAAATGTGTTTAGTGTCGGTATTAGTTTCTTGTTCGCCTTAAATTTTAAATTGCACCTAGATTGATTACTTTGGATTTACTGTTATCTCCCCACAGCATGTTTCCCCTCCCATACTGTTAGTTGTTTTGTACTTCGATTTCTGCTGTATATTTATAATTGCACAGGTTATGTGAGGTCCAGTCTAGCCTCGTCACTACTTCACCGGGGTTAGGCTAGGCACTTACCAGCACATGGGGTCGGTTGTGCTGATGCTACACTCTGTGCATTTTTGCACAGGTCCAGGTATTGAGCAGCAGCAACAGCATTAGCTCGGGGGCGAACCTTTAGTCCAGAGAGACCCGAGGTAGCTTGCAGGCGTCCGCAGGCCCGGCGTCTCCCTTCTATCTTTACAATTGGCTGTCATCTCATTGTACCCGAGATAACAGATTGTGTTTTGTTTCAGACTTTGTATGTAGTACTCCTTAGATGTTCATGAGTATGTGACTCCAGTCCCGGGGTAGAGATATATGTGATGGAACTTCTGTATTATTGATCATCTATCTACATTTAAGTCTTTCGCTTATGCTTTTAATTCCGTCGCCTTTATTTAATGCCGTTAACTGTTAAAAAGGAACATGTGTTTAAGGAATTTGTTAATTAAGTTGGCTTGCCTAGCTCCGTTAGTAGGCGCCATCACGACTCCCGATGGTGGGAAATCCGGGTCGTGACAAGTTGGTATCAGAGCCCTAGGTTACATAGGTCTCACAACTCACGGACAAGCTTAGTAGAGTCTTAGGAATCGGTACGGAGACGTCTGTACTTATCACCCAGAGGCTGCCAAGTTAGGAAAAAATCTCTCCTTTGTTCTTTCTTGTCGTGCGGTTTGGTTTCTCAATGCTAATTGGACTTCTACTCTGTTTCCTCGCAGAATGGCGAGTACACGCGCTTCCTCATCTTCAGACCAGCAGTCCGAGCCCCAAGCAGCTCCCGCTAGGGGCAGAGGACGAGGCCGTGCTAGAGGCCGAGCTAGGGGTAGGGCTCAGCCCCGAGCAGCAGCACCAGCGGCGGAGCCCCAGGTCAGTTTTGACGAGGAGGTTCCGGCCCCAGCCCCAGCAGCGTCAGTGGGCCCACCTCAGGTCCCATAGGGGTTTATAGCCACCCAGTTCTTCAGGACGCTTTGGTCAGATTGGTGGGCTTTGTGGAGAGCGTCACTAGAGCGGGTTTGCTTCCAGTAGCACCAGCCACTTCTCAGGCTGGAGGAGGAGTTCAGATTCCAGCTACACGTACTCCGGAGCAGGTAGCTCCCCAGGCTCAGGTTCCAGTGGTTCAGCCAGTTGTGGCAACCTAGCCGGGTATCGTGACTCAGACCGGCGATGGAGCGGCTATGTCCGCAGATGCTTTGTGGAGACTGGATAGGTTCACCAAGCTCTTCACCACCACATTCAGCGGTGCTTCTTCAGAGGACCCCCAGGATTTCTTGTATAGCTGCCATGAGGTTCTTCGGACTATGGGTATTGTGGAGACCAATGGGGTCGATTTTGCCACTTTTCGTCTAGCAGGATCCGCCAAGACCTGGTGGAGGGATTTCTGTTTAGCAAGACCAACGGGGTCGCCAGCATTGACATGGGATCAGTTTGCAGAGTTGTTTTTGGAGAAGTTTCTCCCAGTTACTCAGCGAGAGGCTCTTCGCAGGCAGTTCGAGCGTCTCCAGCAGGGCTCTATGTCAGTCACTCAGTATGAGACCCGGTTTATCGATCTAGCTCGCCATGCTATTGTTATACTCCCCACTGAGAGGGAGAGGGTGAGGAGATTTATTGATGGTTTGATTCAGCCGATTCATCTCCAGATGGCTAGGGAAACTGGTAGTGAGATCAGCTTTCAGGAGGCGGCCAATGTGGCCCGCCGAGTTGACATGGTTCTGGCACAGGGGGGTAGCCATAGAGCAGACAAGAGA